TGAGCCTATCCAGAGGGATGAAGCCTTTTCCTCTCTATCCCCTTCTGTGCAAAGCCTGGAAAGGGTCAGGAGGAGAGCCAGAGCCGCTCTCGTGTCAGAGCTCAGCTTGGGCCTTGCTCTCTGCTGCAGCCCCTGAGCGTGGCTCAGCCTCCGGCCCCCCGGGATGATCTCTCCCCGCTGGCGGCTGCGTGCATGATTGCAGCAGGGTGCCGTGGGGAGCTGTCGCTCCCCGGCCTCTGATGTGCGGCGGCAGAGAGATGCTGCAGGAGAGCATCCTTCACCTCCTTCCCTTTTGCAAGATGCCCGGAGTTCGGCATCTTTCCGCCCCGCGGCACCTTGCAGCTGCCTCCCCCCAAAGCTGCAGCGTGTCCCTGCCGCAGCCTATCCCCTCCCTGTCGCTGCTGGGGACCGCTCGCCTCCTTTTTAGCTGTTTCGTTCCCGGCATCCCCCTGTCCTGCAGGCTGGGAATGGTACGGTCCTGCCTCCAGTGCTCGTCACTCCGTGGACGTTGCTAGAACGTGAAGGCATCGGCGCAGGCTGCAGCGGCTGCGGCCGGCCCCGAGACACTCCGGAGAGGAGGCAGAAAGGACCGGGCGCCGCGTGCCCTGCTCTGGCCCTCTCCATCCTCGCCTGCATCCCGACAGGGTCTGGGCAGCAGCGGTAGCAAGGCAACATGACTCAGGGAAAGGTAGGTGGGAGGGCAGGGTTGGGCTGATAAGTCATCTTGCTTACATAATTGCACAACTAGGGGGGGAAAAGAGGGGACTTAGGAAAGGACGGGGTGTATTGATGCGGAGGAGGGAGCTGGGTACTGGTGCACAGCTTGGCCGGTTGTGCAGTGGCTGCTGTGCAGGGAGGTGTTTTGACAGAAGAGGGGATGGAGGGCTGTGTCGTTACAGGGTCAGAGGCTGTTTTTATCCTAGTGCTGGATGCTCAACTGTGTCATTGGAGCTGCGGCCATTTATTCCCCCCATCTGGGGTCCTGGGGACCTCAATGAGATGCTTGTGCTTTCCCATCTGTGTCCCCGCTGGCCAGAGTGCTTGGCACCTGCCCTGGCCACCTCCTTCCCCATCCAAGGAGCTATCCCTGGATTTTGGGATTCTGATTTTTGGAGCCTGGAGGGGGTTTATGCATCTTGTGCCAGCACTGTGTGCTGTTGCCATAATGACGATGCCGGAGGCCGCCTGGATGCGGGCGGCACTGGCTCTATCCAGCATCTCCTCAGGTATCTTCTGCTGTCCCTGATGTTGAGCTGCCCCGTGTGTTGGCAGTGGGGAAAGGATATTGGTCGCTTAACTTATCCCAAGAGGTCAAAGAGGTTGCTAGGAGGTTGTCTGAATAATGTTCCCAAAGAGAAGCAAGTTCTCTGCTGGGCCGAGAATGGCTCTTTGCTGGGGTTTTATAGTCTGAAGCCTTCAGCAGGTTTATGCATTTGAATATCCTGCTAAGAAAATATCTCTAGCTGCCTGAATACTTTTGGAAGTGGAAGGATTTAGGTTCCCATATCCTTTAGCTACACCTTCAAATTGTAGCCAGTGGGTAGCAGGGAGGCTGTGAGCCTCACATGACTGGCAGAGATGGATGATTTGATTTTTGGGCAGGTAAAAGAAAATGTTGAAGGGCCAAAGCAGTACACCTGAGGGCCAAGAGAAACCCCACAATGTGGAAGTGAAGATGAAGTAGTAGAGTTTGGATTTTTTTGTCCAGTAATTGAAAAATCTTTTCAAATGAAATTCAGAAATGAGTATGCTGACAGGCCTCTGCCTGTGTCCTGCCAGGTTCCTGCTGCAGGACAGTTTCTGTACCTGTTTTACATTCTAATCTCATTTCCCCCCCCTCCTTTCCATGCAGCTCTCTGTGAACAACAAACCTCCCAACCCCGAGGGGCAAGGGGAGAAGAAGGACACTGCCGCTGCACCACCAGCTCCTCCGACCTATGAGGAGGCTACAGCGGGAGAGGGGATGAAGTCAGGCGCTTACCCTCCTCCCCCGTCGGTGCCGCTCCATCCCAGCTGGGCGTATGTGGACCCCAGTGAGTTCGCGGGTGGCCGTACCTGCGCCTAGCGCCTTGCAACGGGGAGCAGGGAATCCCACCACGCTTGGGGATGTAGTGCCATTTGGTCCATAGCAGAGCTTGTGCTAGGGCCATAAGCCATATATTCATATGTGTATATAGTGTATATACATATAGTGGCTGGCTCCCCCAACCACTGGACCACATTGCTTTCCAGATGTGGGACTAGATCCCCAGCAGTCTTCTCTGTTACTGTAACCACTAGGCTGCTCTGCTTTCCAGTACTGGGAAGAGAAAATCTTGGCTCCCAGCTCGATCTGCTAAGCAATGCTACCTCCCAGGGCTGGGAGAGTCCTGATGCAAAGCATTTTTTGGGCAGTAACACCCCCTTCTTGCTCCTGCTTACTCCCGGCTTTCAAAGAAGCTGCTGAAGCAGCAAAAAATCAGTGTAGCAGCATCAGTGATGTCTGGTTGCTCTGGGCCAGAGCTGGCAGAGCTGAAAAATGTTGCTGGGCTCGAAAGCTGAACTATTCCAGAGCTGGTATGCGTGGCCACGAGGTGACTCCTTGGCAAACAAACAGCTTTTCTTTCCCTGGGTACTGCGTGCAGCCTCGGCTCGGGGCAGTGACAAGTGCACAAAGGCACGACTGTGCCATAGTGCAGGGAAAAGGCTGTGCAGCGGTGAGTCTGGGGGCTGTGGGATGCAGCAGCTGGCAGGAGAGTGGGCAGGCAAGTGCTGGCTCTGCTGGCATGGCCTGAACCAGAGAGCCCTGAAGGGACCAGGGATTTAAGGATTCTCTGCATCCATGTTGTCTGCTCGGTCCTTTGCTTTGCAGCTGCCTGTTTCCAGCGAGGATGGTCACAGCTGCAGGGATGGAGAGGTTTTGGGAAGAAAGGGAAGTAGAGCAAACTATCCCCTGAGATGTTTACATGCTCCAATGGTTTCATGGGCTTCTTTCTCCCTTGCCTTTAGGGATCAGAAACAAAGGGGATAAATAACCTCCTAGCTTGCTCTAATAACCACCTGGGTCTTTTTCTAATCTCTTGATGAATTATGATGAGTAAAGCCCAAAGGGGTTAGGATGCTGGGATTTTTGGTATCCTGGAGGACTTGCCTATGTGATGCATCATCTCTTGCCCACTGCCCTAACAAGCCTGGCAGGATTTCTTCTCCTCAGCTGTGTTCTGTGCGTCACTGCATCAGTCCCTGCTGATGTCCTCTGATTTCCTCTTTCCATCAGCCTCGCTGCCGGCTGGGTGCCTGGGGGTGATGTGCCGAGGTGGCTGTGTCTGACGGCACATGTGACGCTAGGAGTAGCTGGAGGGAAGGGACATGTGTTTCAGGTTGATTTCTTGAAACATGGCAGCAAGACAGCATGTCCCCTGCCCTTGGAGATGGGTGCCAGCACAGAGCTCCCCCTTTAGACAGAAATAGCAGGGCTGTGGCTGGGAGGCAACAGGAGTGCCAGGGATGTTAGCCTGGGGGAAGGAAAACCTGCTCCATTCCTCAGAGGCAGTTAGGTACCTAATTTGGTGTTTAGATACCTTGATTGCTTTGACACAGGAGGCACTGAACTGCCCTTGGGGACACGGGCCTCAGGTGCTCTTGGTCCTGTGCCGGTGATGACGGGATCTCCCAGAAATGCTGCGAGGAAGCAGTGCAGGAGTGTGTCCCTGCTGGGGGGTAGAAGTAGACACAGGAGATTTATTAGGTGCAAGAAGGGCATGAGGGATTTATTTCCTGCCAGGCACATCTTTGAGATCAGGCTTCTGCAATAAAAGCAAGTGCCCTTGGACTGGTAAAATAAAGTCTCGGAGTGGGGCCTTGAATTTGGCTTTGCTGTCTGACATTGCAGCCTGTCCTCTGGCTTTGAGGGTCTTTCCCCTACCTGCCTGATGGATCTGAACATCACTGAGGCCTCCATCCCCGAGTTCAAATTGGTTAAAAAGCTTTGTGAAGCAGAGAGGGAAGCATCAAACAGGCAGGGACATGAACGCAGAGCGGGTGTGATTGCACAAGCCTTGTTTCTAAAAGAAACCCATTCAGGGGAGACTGCTACTAACACAGAAAGTGCAATTTGCAAGAGAAACAAATTGCATGGGAGACTGATGCACAAAGACAACTGTGGTTTTGTTGTTTTTTTTGAGCTGTGAGGTTCAGGAAAGGGAGATGGCTGCTGCTTGTGTCTAATTTGTGCAGCTGATCTCAGCTGGGAGAAGCTGCCTTCTTGGTTTTCTCCTCTCAGCCCTCCTTTCCCTGCAATACCCCCCTGCTGCCTTCGGCCCCTGGTTGTCACAGGTGGTTGTCACAGGTTGTCATCACAGTCATCCCCTCCTGCTCGTCCCTGGGGAAGGCAGAGGTTCCCAGATGTTTTCCCTCCCCCTCCCTGCAGCCTTTGGGCTGGAGCAAATGATGCTTTCTGCAGCCTTCCTCCTCCTCGGTCTGCAGGGAAATGCCAGCAATGAGCTGGTATTACAGAGCCCCTAGCAGAACAGCTGGCTGGTTTCTGAGACAGGTTGTGTGGTGCTGCGATCTGGAAAGAAGACTCTTGGCAGGCGCATCTGAGTTGTTTTCCTCTCGTTTGCTGACCTGTTTTGACTCCCTGTGTGGAAAACAGATTCAGGGTGGACCTCACTGAAAAAGCTGAAACGGTCTTTCCTCAGAGGAGAGGACACAGCACCATTGACATAATAAATGATGCACATGGCCTAAGTTCAGGCAGTGACAGAGCAGCAGGGGAATCCTCCTGCAGCAGGGCTCCCAATGGGAATAGCTGTGCATGGCTCCCCTTGGGGATCTTTTAATATTCAGTGACAGGTGAGTGAGGATATGATAGCCCTCTAATCGTCACGAAAGGTTTAGTAGAGAGGAATTGACCCTGGTATCCTGGTCACGCTGCGGTTTGCAGAAGCGTTTTCCACCTCTTTCCATTCTCAGAGATGCTCCTAATAAGATGCAGGAGCAAGGGGAAAGCCAAGGGCATCCCAGCATGCCTGGGCAACATGTCTCACTGAGTTCTGTGATTCAACAGGAAAATCTTGAAATGTGGGCATCCTGAACTGTAATTCAGTGGCAGATAGTGGCAGATTATCCCAGCTTGCTCGTGGGTGGCTGGGGGAGGGAGCTGACCTGCCCGTCTTCTGCTTCAGGTACAAGCCCCAGCTATGGCAGTGGTGGGTACCCAGGTGACACAGAGATGCTCACAACCTTCAGCTGGGATGACAGAAACGTGCGCAGGGTGTTCATCAGGAAGGTACGGTGCAAGGGGCATGTCTGTTCTGATTGAAGGGGGACACACAGCTCTGCGCTCTTGAAGGGGCCAGGCTGCAGCAGGTATTTAACATCCCACTCCCAAAATGGATGGAGTTTTGCTAGCTCCCCTGGGCCACAAAGCTGCTCTGAGCTGGGTGGGAAATGGGAAGGGAAGGCTGCTGGTCTGCTCTGCATGTTACCTGCCCTGCTGCACTGCCTCTCTTTCCAGGTTTATGCCATCCTGATGGTCCAGCTCTTGGTCACAGTTGTTATTGTGGCTTTCTTCACCTTCTGGTAGGTCTCCTGTACAGCAGTAATGCTCTCTTTGGTGTCCTGTGCACGCTCCACTCCTATATAACTTTTACTTGGGGGGTTGTCAGTTACTCAGTTACCTAAAAATCTTTCCAATGTGCTTTAAGGGACCCTGGGAGGTCATTCAGTTCTTCTGGTGCCCAGGTACCATTTCTGCCTGTCCCAGCTGGTGCATTGTCCCTTCTGGGTGCCATCCCCTGCCAAAAGGCCTGGGTTACTCTCTCTTGGGTATTAACTGCTGCTTCACAGCTGGGCACCTTCTCTGTGGTGTTAAAAGTCACTGGTCTATTGAATAGGTGTCTCTAAGGCATCAGCAATAGCCAGTATTTTTTTCCTTTAGGAGTTATCAAGGCCCTCAGACACTTGGCCCTCTTGGCTTTAGGTACTGGGTTACCTACCCTCATAGCAGTAGGTACCCCGCACTCAAGCAGCGGCTTTCTGCAGCTCAGATGACTGAGCACTTTGGGCATGTGCAGATCAAATAGCAGCTAGAATAAATAATGAATTGCTGTCGGTTTGAGGATTTCAGCTCCTTAATCACTTTGAGAAGGCAGCAGCCGTTCCCCTGAGCAAACCTGACTATGTAATCGATAACAGCAGGGCCATCTTTCCTACTTGACAGGTTTAATTTCTTTGCAGCCAGTCAGTCTGCTGGGTAAATTCTGCTGTGGTGTTGGTCTGCCTCCACACACCCCACACTGTGCCACCCCATATGCCTTCCTAGGTTTAATTTACCAGTGATTTTTGAAGTGATTAGCAGTTTCTGCTCTCTCAGCACCCCTTTTTCTCTCTGTCTTGCAGTGAGCCGGTCAAAGGGTACATTCAGATGAACCCTGCCTGGTACTGGGCTTCCTAGTGAGTATCCATGTTCTCTCCTATGGCCATGCACACCCCAAATGGCTCTGGATGTGTCTGTAGTGACATGGGGCTGTTCTGTAAACATTTCTGCATCTTGTATGTGAGGAACTGCTCCAATGTGTGTGGGGGAGAGTGGAAAAGTTTACAGATGTCTTTGAGAACACAGATAGAAAATCTCAGCAAATGAGTCTGAGGGGCAAGAGATAGATATTGGATACCTCTGAATACTTCTGCCCAGAGGGCTTGCCACTTGACAAACCATAATAAATATGTGAGTATGGCTTGCAGAATGAACAAAGTAAAACCAGGACAACTGCAGAAATCTAGGTGTGAGAGTTAAAAGGATGCTTAGTATACTTTTAGGGCTTAATAGGGGGAGTTGTCCCATTGAAATCAAGGAGGTTGCCTGGGTTTACACTACATACCTTGATAAACGACAGACATGTGAAGAAGGGTACAGGGGAAGGGGAAGCATTTGGAGTGTTTCTGGCTCTAGGTGCAGCTGTCCTACCTGAACTGCTATCATGGAGCTGCTTTTGGTGCTCAGGATCTGGGATCCTATTCATTAGGCATGGCCAGTCCGAAAGGTCAGCGAAGGAGGTAGCTTAAGCTGTGCCTCTATGCATTAAGGTATTTGCACTTGTGTTGGTTCTTGGATGCCACTTGTGTTAGTGCTGCTAATTAGGCAGAGTGCACAGTGCAATTGACTGTGAATGAGGCTCTGTGAATCTGGCTTTAATTAGCTCACACCCAAATCGTGAAATGTGTCCACACCCGGACATGAGACACCAGCTTATATAACTTGGAAAAAAGAACCAAAATAGCGCTAATAGAAGGAACGCGGCACCAGCATGCCTTTTTGTGACCTTAAAGGAAGGTAATATGGTCTCCTCTTTGGCTGTTTGGTAGACCGGAGAAAAAGCATTGTCTTGCAAGGCTTTTTGGGAGACAAGATCAAGCTCTGTTCAGGTCTGCTTTCACCTCTGGGCTCATGTCTCGTGGCTTACCAGCCAGTTAGCATGTATTTCTCTTTCCATCTTTCAGTAGGATAAAAGATGTTTTGGACCAGTTGGGGATAGGCTCTGGACTTAATTTTTGTGGCTCTGTTCCTTCACCTCCCAGCAATCCGACCGTTTCCTCCATCCCCGCTGTCTAGTGGCTTGTCTTGATCTGGGTCTGGATATCCTTCATGCATGGAGACCCTAACTCTGTATATGCCTCTGTAAAATAGAAGTGGGTGCCCCAGGGTGTTTTGCTGCTGCTGGAGTGATGATAGCTCAGGTTCAGAGGGTATAAAGCAGTATGTGGAGAGAGAGGAAAGGTGACGGACAAATGCAATGGCTCTGTGCCCTACATGCTGCTTTTCCATCTATTCAGCTGTGTCAACTGTAGCTTTCCTGGTTTCCCTGTGGGAGAGCAATGCTCAGGTTTATCTCTGCTGTGGTTATCATGGCCCGTGGGTTTTGCCGTCATGTTCGTTTATTAGACTCGAGGTGACTGGCTATCGTGTTGCCATCAGCATGCTTGGAAACTGCTTTCTCCCCCAGGCACTAAGTGAAAGCAGGTAAGCGGGTTCCCACTGTGCCATAACCCATGGGCACTGTAGAAAAACATGATGTTCAGGGCAGAGGGAGACGATTCCTCAGCTGCTGGGTTTTTGCTTCACTGAAGAGTCAAGTCATGCGAGATAAGTAACTTCCCCAAGACCTGCAGACGGCTTGTGCAACAACATATTAGGCTTGGGTCTGTGGGCCCCTCTGTCTTTAGAGGGTCATTTTGCTGTTGAACTTTCTCGTGGGCTGGTGCAGTTAGCATGAGACCAGTTTCCTTCTCAGACACAAGCCTTTGTTCTGACCTTAGGCAAGTCACTTAAACCAAGATATTAACAGTGGTAGCAGTGCTTCATCCCAGCAGGACAACCTGGGATCTCACTAAGCCAGGAAGAGACTGAAAATGAAGGCATAGTCTGTGGAGTGGTCCAAGTCCTTTCTGATGCAATGGAGATGCTGACTATGTCTGAGTGATTCATGTACTGATGACGTGTCTACAACACCTTTAGGTGCTCCATCTATTCTGGGTCTGAATGCTGCCCTTGCTCTGCTCCAAAACCTTCCTTTGGCTTGTTCCAGGATGCCTGTGCTGCCCCAGTGCCACCTTGCCAAGTGGCATAAGCAAAGTCTGCAGCTCTAGGCAGCAAAACAGTTTCAGTGAGGGACAGTTACAGCTTTGCTTCCTACCCAGCCTTGACTTTTTGGTGTAGCACATGGATTTAAGCAGTAAAACTTGTCACCTGGAGTCTTGCTTCTCCTACATCAGCACAAAATGCTGGGGTTTCTTCCCTAATCTATCCCTTTTTTTTTCTTCCTTGCAGTGCTGTTTTCTTTGTGACCTATTTGATTCTGGCTTGCTGCTCTGGACCCAGGTAAAATATTTTCTTTGAAACAGCCCAGGGAAATGAAAGATGAATGCTTTCCTTTTGCCTCAAGTATTACCAACATGTTGCAGGGATGGGAAGGGGTCATGTTGATGCACAGTGATGTAGGAGCTGATGTGGCAGCTGTATTTTCAGGCCTGACAGTTGTGGGCTGCTGCAACACAGCAGTAAAAGATGAAGTAAAATTGCAACTGGAAGAGCAGAGCTGGTGCAGTCAAAATTGTGTTGCTACAGAGCTCCAAATGCACATTATTAGATACTGTGGAGGATCTTCACTGTTGTCCCCAGAGCAAGGTGTTCCTGGCCACTTTGCTGTGGGTATGAGGGAAATGCTTGCCATCTTGGCCTGGGAGCAGCCTGAATGCTCTCGTTCCCAGCAGAATGACCATCCCCTTGCATCACCCCTGCCATATGCTGCACAGACCATTAATTATGATACCTGTTATACAAGCTGTTGTGCAGCGCTGCTAACCACTGCTGCCCCTTGCGTTGCAGGGCTGACCAGCCTCTGTTTCTTAACTTGCAGGAGATATTTCCCATGGAATCTGATCTTGCTGAGCATCTTTGTAAGTGGCACATCTGGACAGTGTCTGCCCTCCCCCTCCAACCAGCATGGGTTTCGCAACGGCTCCAGGCAGGAGAGGCTATTGTCTGGTCTGAATTCCTGCAGAAAGCAGGAATTTCATCCTGTAATTGCCCTGCACTTGGGCCAAGGGACTGTAATTGAACTAGAAAGTGATAAGCAAAAAAGAGCCTCTGTTTAAAACCAGTGCCTGTGGAGGCTGGCAAGAGGTTAGGAGCTGGGGCAGGGCACAGGAAGGGCAGAGGGATGGAAAAGCAGGGACTGGGGTGGGACTGCTCTCAGGTTGTGGCCTCTCCTTGTTTTAACCTGCTCTGTGGACACTAGATGTGATTTCTGGATATTTTTCAATGCTCATCTCTTGTGCATTGGTTTCAGAGGTTTCACTGCCCTTATGGCTATCCTTGTCACTGCCATTGAAATGTTTCTATCTGCTGAGTGTCTGGCCCTGGGACACGAATGCAAGAGTAAAGTGGTTCTCTTTTCCTCCCAGACTCTCTCCATGGCTTATCTCACTGGGATGCTCTCCAGGTAGGTTGGGCATGTGGTCCCTGGAGTTCTAGTCCTATGTTCTGGCTCTTCCTGTGGAAAAACAATTTCTGCTTCTGAAATATTTGAGCCACTTGATCCCTTTGGAGCTGTTTCAGCAGCCGCATGGAACCTGACCTTCCCCTCTGGAAACACCTTTTAAAGATGTTCTCTGAGAGCCATGGTGGCACTCCCAGCAGTTTCTTTTTTGTAGTCTATGGTTTTGCATCCTTTTGTGTTTTCACTGTTAGTCTGCTCACAAGAGCAGCCCTGATTCACATGGGTCTCTGGTGATGAGGCAGATGAGCCAATGGGTGTTGATGGACACATGCTGGGGACAAAGAAAGTGGTGGCTTCAGCAACTAAGGGAAATACCTGTGATATTGCTTTAATGAAATTGAAGGGAAGAATGGGGACCTGGGTTTTCTCAGGGCTGAACCTGGTGCTATAACCCACCAAAGTCAGTTAAACCCACTGAAACCTAAGCCTACAGTCTCTACTTCAAATCCCTCCATCCTTCTTTGCAGTTTTCTGAGATTCAAGCCCCTGTGTTATGAGCACACTGATAGTGTAACAGAGCTTTCTGATTTCTCATTGTGCTGCAATGACATTTGTCACTATTTTTATTATCTCCCAGATTGAATCCTCCTCCTCTCCATCTGCCCATGGACAGATAGATTTTTATGGTAAATTCCCATCTTAGCTGCTCATGAGTTCCCAGGAGGCGTAGACATGCCCTACTGCTTACCCTCTTCTATTTAAAGCAGGAGGAAAGCCCATCTAATCTTTCTGAGTTTTCAGTCTTCCCCTCCCTTTTGACATTAAGCAGAAAAATTGGTAAGCTCAGGGCAATTTCTTCTGTCAGGGCTCCCACTTTTCCTATACACCTCCACTGATCTTCTGCCTGTCTTTATTCCTCCTGTCCCTGTGGGAGTTGCTAGAGATGTGGCTTTACTGTTAATTTTGCAGCTATTACAATACCAAGTCGGTCCTTCTGTGTCTGGGGATCACGGCCCTGGTGTGTCTTTCTGTCACCATCTTCAGCTTCCAGACCAAGGTGAGTGTGTGCTGATTAGTTCCTCTGGGAAAGGCATCTTCTGTGGGCAGGGAACAGGGCCAGGCAGCACTGGAAGTGACGTATTGTGGAGCAGGTCTGAAAGGCACTGGGTATGGGAGCAATTTGAGGGATGCTGGGACATAAAGTGAAGGTTACAGGAAGGTTATGACAGGTGCTGGGTAAATAACGTCTTCGGGTAAAGATGGGATTTGAAGATGCTAATGTATGGGGTAAGCTGAGTTTTGGAGTATCAGGCTGGGGTACAGAAAGGTCCTGAAAGGTGATGCAAGATACACTGGCACAGGTGAGTATGATGGACTTCTGGATATAAGGGATGTGATGAGTACTGGGTTATTGTGTTAGGCGATAATGGGGATATGGTGAGTGTTTATCTATCAGTTTGCTGTATGATGGATGCTGGGCTATTGAATCTGAGATGCAGATGAAGCAAACACCATCTGAGAGCAAAATAGGTGTGATGCTGGCGAGTTCCTCCTTGATGTGGAGAGGCCTGACTCCTCTCGCTGCCTCCTGCCTCAGCACTCTGCACTCATAATGTGGTGCTCTTTACCTCCACAGTTTGACTTCACCTCCTACCAGGGTGTCCTCTTTGTGATGCTCATGGTGCTCTTCTTTGGTGGCATCATTCTGGCTGTGATACTGCCCTACCAATATGTGAGTAACAACCAACAGCCCTCCTTCCTCACCGAGTGCCACCAGTCCCAGCACAAGGCCAGGAACCAAACATCAGCCTCAAGCAGGCAAGCTCTAGGGGCTGGCTCAAGACAGGGATGTCCTATCTGCTTTCCAGAAATGTGCAAAAGCACCAGGGGAAATAAAAGGCAAAAACAGGTGCCTGATGCCTGATCATTCTGCAATCAGAGATTGACTGTAGGACAGGGCACTGACCTGGGGCTTAGTTATCTTCTGCTCCTGGATCTGTTTGAGGACCTCACAGAGGGTAGCATCATCTGCCTGTGCCTCAGTTTCCCCTGCAGTAAAACAGGTTGGCACTTTAGAGTGCCTGGCTGTCAGTACAAAACAGGGCTCTGATCAGGAGTGACTGCCTTGTCATTCCTCTTGCCACTGCCAGTCCTTTTTCTATGGGTTCAGGCCTTTCAGTCTCCTTGGCCACCTTCCCTTTGCTTTGCATCCCTGCTCCTGGCTTAGACCTGGTCACAGCCAGGGTTGGTTGTTTCCTGATGAAATCCTGGAGCAGCTTGTAACCACACCTGATGGAGGGTTTGGTGTGACAGTGTGGAGGGCCTGTTCTCCATCCAAGAGCTTCTCATTAGGCAAGTCATCATTCAAGCAAGAGCCTGACAGACCCTGGAAGATCTTGATAAAAGAGGGAAAGTGTGTGGCTGCACAGCCTTCATTAATCACCCTGAATTCCTGCTTGGGCTGGAGACAGCAGCACCTGGCTTTGCTCATAGCAGCCTCTAAATACCTTCCAATCCCCTCACATCTCACCTGGGCTCTCTAGGGACCCAAGTCACACTTTAAGGGCCAGATCTGCAGGAAGTGCTCCTCCTGTTACTAGCCCTGGAGTCAGACACACAGTGGGTCAATGTGAAGACCAGTATTTCACAAAACAGGAGTTTGGGTTTTGGTTGCCTTGGTTGGAGGTCCATCTCCCCTTTTGTGTGAGCGTGAGGGTAAACCAGCTTGCATTGCCAAGCCGCTGCCATTAAACTGTTGTGACAACTTCTCTGATGTCTTGATGCCTGTCAAGATAAGCATAGCTTGAGGTATTTGGTATTAGCCTCTCTATAGAGAGAGGCAGGCTGTGATCTCTGGGCTGAGTCCATGGTCCATGCGGGCACCTTCTCCTGCGACTGCTCTGGTAGTGCTGTATGTTACTGTGCCCCCAGCAAGCAGGGTTTGAGGTTCAGTCTCAATTCCAGTGCATTACCCACTGCCTCCAGCAGATACTGAAGTTCTGTGTGTTAATTAAAGCTGGGTCTGTCCCTTGGAAGCATCTGGTGTGTCTTCCAGCAGGATCCACCTTGTCTGGGTGGATTAATGCCTTCCAGGGCTGCTGCAAAATGCATTCCCATCAGGATAGAGTTAAGATGTTCCCACAGAGACCCCGGCCTTGTTGAGGAAAGCTGTTTAGAAACATAAGTCCCTGACCTGGAAGCTTATGAGCGGAAGACTGAAGTGAGAGGGGAAACTGAGGCACAGGGACCTGTTCTTTGCCATGAAAAGGTCAATAATAGTAACCAGGATTGAGTTGGAAGTGGTGCAAGTCTGGGGCTGTTACAGCACTTTCCCTAATTTGACTCCTCCACACCAGAGGTGAGCCCTGTTCTGTGTCAAGTCATAATTAACCAGTTTTCTCTCAGCCACTGACTGATGTATTTGTTTTTTTAGGTCCCCTGGCTCCATGCAATCTACGCCTTGCTGGGTGCCATTATCTTTACTATGGTAAGTGTGGTGCTGATCATAGGGACTGGGAATGAGTAGGCAGCAAAAATAAGTGAATAAACATGGAGTAAATGCTTTTTGCCCTGAAGGCTGTCCAGGGAAGGAAGGAGTAAGCTGTAGGATTGCAGAACACTCCATATCCTCAAGTGGCTTGTGAATAGCGATTACTGCAGTGATCTCAGCCTGGTCCCAAGAAGGTGCTGGTGTACGTGACTGTGTTGGAGCGGAACATGGTGTGATTGACAAACCCGTGCTGTATGTGCAACACTAGATGTGAACAGTAGAAAGCATTGTAGAGACAGAGCAAAAGGCCCCTTTGGAGTGGAAAAAGCAGAAACTAAGCTTTGGCACAGCAACGGGAGCAGGATTGCAGGGTTCAAAGGGAGCCTGGGCATGAAATGAGGCTGCAGATGTGAACAAAACCAAGGCAGGGATGGGTGGGTGCAGGCTAGGGAGTGGATATGAGATAGGTGTATAGTAAGATTATCTACAGGCTGTGGCTTGGGAGTGAGGGTCACTGGGAAGGTGCGTTGCTGGCAGCAAAAACCCTGAACCCCAGCAGAACTTTTAACTAAAACTGAAAAACTTGATTCATTCCTTTGACTGCTCCCTGGCTGCCCCAGCTGCGAGCCTCTACCTGGAGCATGTCCCAGCAGTGCAGTGCTTGCTGTTTGGGTGTGGGAGTTGTCTGGGAAGGTGCTTGGCATTACCTCGAAGTGGGGGTCAGGAGGAGGGCTGCCTTGGGGATCAAGGCGGTGCCCATTGGGCATGCTGTGAATAAGAGCAGTTGAGCAATTTCATTTAATAGCTAATAAAATCATTTCAAGAGAGCTCGGGTATTTCTTCTCTGATTCATGATTAAAAACTGCTCTGTAAAATATAAGTAGGCTAAACTTATAATTACCCTGTAAACCTCAGTCAGGAGCTCAGCTGGTGGAGTTGACAGTGCCAGGCTTGTCAGCTCAGCTTGATGATCTGCTTGAGAGATCAATTATTATTTATGACTGGAGATGGCAGAGATGCTAGCTGGTCCCAAGAATGGCAGAGATGCTCTGTCAGCTCTGGGGAGCTTCATGCCAAGGTGTCCCTCACAGGCTAGGTTAATAGAGGGCATAGAGGTGGCAGGAGGGGAAGATGTGCTCCAAGTCATGCAGCAAGGTGCAGGTTTTCTGGCAGCTGGGCCACCAACCTGTCTTACAGTCCCCATTTCCTCCTGTGAGCGGTGTATGCCTGCACACAGGCTTCATGGGTAAAATCTGCCCTGTACTCGGATATGATTGCAGCTCAGGTAGGTGTTAGCTTCACTCTGGGTCTGGTTACCTCTGCTAGCAGCTCTGCATAGGCCTTGCTGCTGCCCAGGGTCTGGGATATGTTTCTCAGCAGCTAGATCAGGTGCAAGATTTGCTCTTGTGGTGGCTGGTACTTGAGCTAGCTTGAGGTCAGGTGGAGGTAGCCTGCATGGCTGGGTTATCTGGACAGATGAGATCAGAGTGCAGTAAGAGGAAGGCGTAGTTTCTTGGCCTCTTTGTTGCTCTGGTGTTGCTGGAATGTCACGTTGGTCCAGGACACCCTGTTACCTGGCAGGTCTTTCTGAACTGGAGGAAGTACAAGAATAACAAGTCATAGGACTGGCTGAGGAGGAACAAGAACTGCTCTGGGGCTGAGCTTGAGGACATGTTCAGGACAGACAAAGTGGAGGGTAGCCTTGGGAATATGCATGAAGGAAGTTGGCATGGAGGAACAGTTAGGCTCAGGGCTGGACTCTTAAGAGTGAAATGAAGGGAAAGGTTGCAATTGATGATCAAAGTATTGTTCTAAGCTTTTTAAACAGCAGTTATGGCCCATAAAAGAAGTGGTTGCATTTTCATTGCGAGTTCAATGAGGCAACAGGGACAACTCATGCTAAGTTCTTCTTGCCTCCCTGTGTCGAAGCTGTGTGATTGTGTCATTGGGTTTTCTTCCTCTTTCCCCACAGTTCCTGGCCTTTGATACCCAGATGCTGATGGGGAATCGTCGGTACTCACTGAGTCCAGAGGAATACATCTTTGGAGCCCTCAATATCTATCTGGACATAATCTACATCTTCTCCTTCTTCCTCCAGTTCTTTGGCTCCAGTCAGGAGTGAGCACAGCAAGGCAGTGTCTTCTCTTTGCTGGCAAGACACACGTTTATAAAAGATTAAAAGGGGGGGAAAAAAGAGGAAAAGAGGGGAAAAAAAAAACAACCACCCTTTTTGGCCCACTAGCAGGCTCCATTCCATCAGCTGAGCAAAGCCCCTGGGTTCCTTATGCAGCTTGTATATATGCTGTTAAGCGTTTGTGACCCAGAAAGCAAAGCAGGGTTTAAGTGTTGTCTCTCCTGCTCCTTCCACTTCTGCTGAGATCAAACCAGACCAGAGACTGGGAGGCATTAGGCCAAGATCTTTTCCCTAAAGGCTGCCAGAGTTGCCTGTCGGGGTCTTGCACACTGTGGGATGCTCAAATGCTTTGACCAGCTCTGCCAAGGGGAAATAATACTGAAGAAAGGAGAGGCAGGGAATTTTGCTGGGATCATGGCAGGAAAACCAGCTGAACAAAGGGAAAAGGCTAGGGAAATCCTTGCATCGCCCTTGTTTTTCACCTGCCTTTTTTCATGGAGCCTTGTGGCCTCTGCAGAGATATGCTCCAGATAGTGCCTGCTTTTGGAAAGGCTGAGCATGGGATCACATAGCCTGGATGTCCTTCTAGCAACCAGTCCTCCAGGCACAAAGGAACCTGTTGTTCAGGACATGCAGCCTCTTTGAGGACATCCCTAATGAAAGAAGAATTCTTCTTTCATCCTTTACATCTGGCTGTGGGGCTGAGATTGTGCTTTCTCTCCTCCCCGCCTGGGATAGCAGGGCTGCTGGCATCCCTCTGCCCCAGGGGACATGTATGTCAGCACTCTAAAGTGTGGCTCTTCCCCGGGAGGGTTGTGATCCCATGTGAGGATTACCGATAGGGAATAGCAAAGAATGGATGAAAGACTGAGTTGCAGAGTCTGTGCAAAGTCAGGAACCTCCTCTTATGGAAAACAGGGGGGATGAGATCCTTGATCCACCATCAAGGATCTTTACACCTTCATGATAGTGTCTTGATTGGTAGAGATTAATGGCCCTAAGTGGTTACTGCCCAGAGGCTGAGGCCAAGGTGAATGCCTATTGCTTGGAAAAGTGGGCACTTCTGCTGCCGACACCAGTGTCGCCTCTTCCTTTTGCTCTGGTTGTTTTACAGCTCTGCTTCCCTAAACAGGGATGTCAACAAGGGCACTGGATGCCTCTGAGTGTACAGGTAACTTTCCATCTTCCCCTGCTTACATTCCCCTGTTTGGGGATCAGCTGGCTAATTTCTAACTGTAAAGCTCCAGATGGAGATAAGAGAACTTTTGCTCTTATTTAGAAAGTGATCCTTCCTGCTGATAGAAACCCGTATCTTCTACCTCCCTGGGAATGCCAGGGTAAGTGCGTCACTGAGCTGCCTCTAGCAATCCCTGCGTGTTAGAGAGGCTATGCCAAAATGCTCCATACTGCACATTCCTCCTCTGCTGCTGCCCTGGCTTTTACCCCTCACATGTTGTATACTCCTGCCACACGTGTTCAATGCCCTGAGCTGGGCAGAAGAAGAGGAAAGTTACTGTGCAAAGAGTGAAAAAGCTTTTGCTAGCTTAGCTCCCTGCCTGGCCTTTATTTTGGACCTTGAGTGGCTGCACTGACCTTTGCAGTGACAGCAGGAACAGAACTGCTGCTTCCCAGCGCCAAAAAAAACCACCCCACTTTCTGGGATAAAGGAGACTATTAGGTGATGGCAGCATTAAGTCCGTGACCCATTGCCTTGAACTGTTGAGCAGCCAGAATTGGGAGAGGGGACAGCATGGGAGACACCTCAAGTTGTTGAAATGAAAATGTAGAAAGGGAATTTCCTGGCTCAAATATTGCTCATGCCAGACCCATGCAGGTGCTTCTGAAAGATCTTAGCAGGTTGGACACACAGCCTCTGTTGCTCCAGTAAGAGACTGTGTTGCTCAAAGCAAAAGGCCTGTAGGTATTTCTGCTTTCCAGCTTTGGAGGGAGGAGTATGGCTGGAGTTCTGTGAAAAATTCTCAGACTCAAATAGCCCTAAAAATGTCCTCTAGAAGACACTTCAGACCTGAGCTCTGCAGCCACCCCTTCTCTCTGCACTGAGGCTCTTCCCAGCTGGCTCTGGACCTGGGGAGGAGAACACTGGTCTGCAGCCCACTCTGGATCTCTTGCTTTTTTTCCTTCTGGTGTGGAGTGATTTGTCTTCTGCTACTGCTGCCTGAGCTGCTGCTACCTCCTGGCTTTCTGCTCCCCAGTAGAAAATGTCTGCATGGCACCTGCAGCCTCTCCTCCAGGCCACCCAAGTGGAGATGGCTTGCTGTCTTCCCGTGTCCCTCAACAGAACCACGGGGTTCCCTTCTTGCATGTTTCCTAGGTCTTGTTCTGCACTGAACCCTTTGCCCTTCCCCATCAGGCAGGGATGGTCCCCATCAGGTTGTCAGGTCCCAGCCTTCTCCCACTGGAAGCATTGGATTGAAACAATGAGTAATGTGCAAAACACAAGTGGAAGTCCCCACTGGGCTGAATAATGCAGATTTAGGCAAGTTCTTCCTGGGTTTCCTGACCCACTGGATGTGGGAGGTGCAGGGCTGTTTCTCTTCCTCTGTGTAGATGTCCTTTATCTGAGGTCTGCATCATCCAGACCCTGGCTCCGTATCCCCTTGCTCCTTTTGTCCAGCTGTTCTTATGATTTCATTGTAAATAAGATTTTGTATTTTCTCTGAACATTGCTAATAAATTGTTGCAAAACTGTTTTCTGTCGCAGGGTCTCCTTACTGAAGTGCAGCTGGTGGAAGGTCTGGTCAGAATTGAGGGATAAAGGGTTCCCTGGGTGAAAGCTCTGTGCTTTCTTAGACTTGGTTGCAAACAGCCACAGGATTCAAAAAGGGGGAGGATGCATGTTGGAAGCAAGGTACCTTCTCAGAGGGGCATTTGCCACTGCCTCTGGAGAGGAACTTGAGGCACTGAGCTTTCCCAACTAATCTAACCTAAATTAATGCCTACTTTGGGAGATGACTTACATATCTATAACCATCAGCTATGAAGGGCTGATTAGTCCAGGTTGCCAGATCTCTTAGGGGAGAGAAATCGTGACTGCGGCATCTTGTTGCAACAGCTCTGTGCTCCTCAGGAGGAGTGATGCCCGATAGGCAGGTGTGAGATTTGTTTCTAAATAAGATTTATTTCCTGCCTTGCGAACCCATCTGTGCAAATGGTTGCAGAAACATGCTCCATGAACTTGTGAGATTTGGGATTTCAGTGTTCACAACTGGCTGGTAGTGCCCGAACCGTTGCCTGATTATTAGCGTGCTGCTTGTTCTTAGCCTTGTTGTCGCTGTCCCCTTTGCTGGGGCAAGAACATATTTTGCGTTGTGCTGTGTTTGATAATGCACGTTCTGCTGTGGGACGGCGTTTGTGGAAGAATAACTGAAGTGGGGTATTACCACATAAACAGTGAGGTGGCTATTAGCATTTGCCTAAGAGGTGTAATTAGCTGCTCCACAAGGCTGATCCTGTAATTATCGCAAAGAGAATAAAAGGCTGATCACTCAGTCCACTTTCAACGCTTGACTCTTGAGGAACCGGGCAAAACAGCACTGGGCTTCACTGAAGCTGTGTCTGGGGATCACTCAGAGAGGTGGAACAGGGAGAGAAGGCAGGAGGAGATCAGGTGATTTATGGATGTGTTAAGGGATGTCGTACAGAGGAAGAGAGGGAGAGGTTACCCATGCCTACTGCAAACGGGATAGGGATTTGGGGGCCCTAAAGGCAGCCAGAGGGCTCCCGGTGAGACCTCTGAAACCTTCCTGACAGCATAGGCAGGCGCTGAACCTCGCTCCTGGGGCAGAGGGGTGAAATTGTTACGTCTCGGCGTCTTGTAGGCCAACGCAAACGCTGGGCAGATGCTTCGGGGCCGAACGTTTCTAAGGTCCTGGCGCCCTCTGCTTTCTGCACTGTGGTTTAAAAAAAAAAAAAAAACCACCACATGCACGATGTCGCAGGTATAAAATGAACTCCAGCTTCCCTCTTATCAACTTGCTTCCTCAAATCTCGCCTTCTCCCCAGCTCCTGCTTAAGAGAAACCCCCC